ATAACACAGTTGGAAGGGACCTTGGAGGTCTTCTAGTCCAACCCCCTGCTTAGGCAGGAAACCCTATGTACCATTTCAGACAAGTGGTTGTCCAATCTCTTCTTAAAATCCTCCAATGATGGAGCCCCCACAATTTCTGGAGGCAAGTTGTTCCACTGATTAATTGTTCTAATTGTCAGGATATTTCTCCTTAGTTCTAGATTGCTTCTCTCTTTGGTTAGTTTCCATTCATTGCTTCTTGTCCAGCCTTCTGGTGCTTTGGCAAATAGATTGACCCCCTCTTCTTTGTGGCAGCCCCTCAAATATTGGAACACTGCTTTCATGTCACTCCTAGTCCTTCTTTTCATTAAACTAGACGTACCCAATTCCTGCAACTGTTCTTTCATATATTTTAGCCTCCAGTCCAGTTTGGTGTATTGATATAATACACCAAACCAAAATTATATTAGCTTAGCTGGAGTTTATTTCACATTACCAGCATGATCATTTGACAGATAGAAGTTGCATATTTGTACTAGTGGGAAAACTATGATTGGCTTTGTCTATTTATCTGGATTTTTTTTTTAATTAAAAGACAGCACGTCCTGTACACATTATTTTCATACCCTTTAACTAAAACTGCCTACTAGGTTAAGTGGGATCAGGATCCTGATTCATTGCTTGTTTCCAGTTGGATTTGTTCATGGACTACAGATAGGGCCCCACCTAGGTATTTATTTCAGGCAGCAAACTTTGTTGAATTGGCCCAGCAAATTTACCCAGTTTGATTTATTCTGGATTTATGAAAATAACTCATTTGCTTCTTCTCCTTATTTGTAATGATATGTGGACATATCATTGAGTCACGGTGGCACAATGATTAGAATGCAGTACTGCAGGCTACTTCTGCTGACTGCCGACTGCCAGCAGTTTGGCAGTTCGAGTCTCACTGGCTTGAAGTTGACTCAGCCTTCCATCTTTTCTAGGTCAGTAAAATGAGGACCCAGATTGTTGGGGGCAATAGGCTGACTCTGTAAACCGCTTAGAGAGGGCTGTAAAGCAGTGTGAAATGGTATATAAGTCTAAGCGCTATTGCTATAGTCTGTCTGTCTGTCTGTCTGTCTGTCTGTCTGTCTGTCTGTCTGTCTGTCTGTCTGTCTGTCTGTCTGTCT